GGTTCCTGAGTGACCTTGTCTATCAGTGGACTGGCCATGACTAGACTCTCTTCTTCCAGTTGTCCTGGACCCTGACTTTGTGGCTTCTCCTTGGCCTGACTGGGAATGTCTAGTGGTATCTCCTGACTGTCCATGAGAAGATTTCTGACTTCTGCTAGACTCTGACTCTCCATGCTGAGACCCAGATTGACCCTGAGTAGATCCTGAATATCTCTGTGAAACTCCTGAGTGACCTTCATTGTCACTGGTTTGACTAGAGGTAGAATCTCTTCTTCCAGTTGTCCTGGACCCTGACTTTGTGGCTTGTCCCTGGCCTGACTGAGAATGTCTAGTGGTATCTCCTGACTGTCCATGAGAAGATTTCTGACTTCTGCTAGACCCTGAGTCTCTATGTTGAGACCCAGATTGACCCTGAGTAGATCCTGAATATCTCTGTGAATCTCCTGAGTAACCTTCATTGTCACTGGATTGACTAGAGGTAGAATCTCTTCTTCCAGTTTTCCTGGAACCTGCCTGTGTGGCTTGTCCCTGGCCAGACTGGGAATGTCTAGTGGTATCTCCTGACTCTCCATGAGAAGATCTCTGACTTCTGCTAGATGCTGATTCTCTGTGCTGTGACCCAGGTTGACCTTGGGTGGATCCTGAATGTCTCTGTGAAACTCCTGGATGGCCTTCACTGTCACTGGACTGACTACAAGTAGAATCCCTTACTTCAGATGTTCTACATCCTGACTGTGTGGCTTTTCCCTGACAATTGTTAGACTGACTTGATCCTGACCAATGTTGACCAGAGGACTGACTTGAGCCACATCCATATTGGCCAGAAGATTGACATGATCCAGACACATTTTGGCCATAGCCATAGGACTGACCTGAGCCAGATTCATGTTGACCACAACTTGACTGACTTGATCCAGACCAGTGTGGGCCAGAGGACTGACTTGAGCCAGATCCATGATATCCATGGCTAGACTGACTTGATCCAGACCCATGTTGACCACAACTAGACTGACTTGAGCCAGATTCATGTTGACCACAGCTAGACTGACTTGATCCAGACCAATGTGGACCAGAGTGCTGACCTGAGCTAGATCCATGATGTCCATGGCTAGACTGACTTGATCCCGACCAATGTGGACCAGAGGGCTGACCTGAGCCAGATTCATGTTGGCTAGAAGATTGACTTGATCTAGAGCCATGTTGTCCAGAGGGCTGACCTGAGCCAGTTCCACGTTGGCTAGAAGATTGACTTGATTGAGACTCATGTTGTCCAGAGGACTGACCTGAGCCAGATGCATGTTGGCTAGAAGGTTGACTTGATCTAGACCCATGTTGTCCAGAGGACTGACCTGAGCCAGATCCATGTTGGCTAGAAG